GCCCCTGGCCTGCCAGCTTCCGCTGCCCTGGCTCTTGCCTCCAGCCCCTGCCCCCGGCTCCTGCCTCCTGCCCCCGGCTCCTGCCCCTGGCTCCTGCTCCCTGCTCCTGCCTCCTGCCCCCGGCTCCGGCCCTGGCCCGGCGGAGTGCACTGAGGCCTCTCCAATGCTCCATCGCTGCTTCTCTGCACCTGGCCGGGGCTCCAGCCAGATGCTTTCTCAAACTGCCCATTCTCCCAGCCTGCGCTGCTTGCCGGGTCGCTGCCATTTCTCCATCATCCCCATCGGGGGGACGGGACGGGACAGCAAAGAGAGCAGCTCCAGCTGGGCAGGCTCAGGGCTTCTCCGGGACAGTCCCTTTGCGGGGGCCGGCGGCGAGGGGGCCACAGAGCAGCCAGGCAGGGCAGCACTTCCTGGAGTGATGGAAAAGGTGCAAGGAGCTGCAGCTGTTCCGCTTCCTCTGGCACATGAGGGTAACCACCCGAGCGGCTGCGGGGGCGGGGAGGCAGGGTTCCCTGTAGGCTGAGCACTTGGGCAGCCGCCCAGGAGAAATTCACATGGTGCCCGCAGCCGGGTGCCCCCCCACTCATTTCTCGGTGCACAAAACAAAATTTATTCCACACTTGGATGGAGAAAAAGTAGCGGGCACCCCGGTTAGGAGGTGAAACAGGAAAGATGGGGGGAGGCTTTGGCCAGATTATGGGCACCCTGGCTGCAGCTCCGCTGATGCGTCTCGGTCCCTGCCCTGTGGCACCCCTTGCTTTTTGAGTCCTCAGCCCTCTGCACCGCTCCCCAATTCCCCCGCCCCTGCTTTTCCAGCTCTGCCCGTGCGCCCCAGCCCTCGCCTCCAGCCTCCTGCACCACTTGGGCGCCCGTTAGACTAGAACAGGGCTCACCCCAGAGCGAGACACGTTCCGGGAGGCCGGGTCCACCGCCGGCTGTGAGCCAGGCTGGCAGGGAGGGTGGGAACGGGTGACAGGGGACGGGTCCCGTGAAGATTCCCTGCTCTGTTCACTCCCTCCGGGACGCCTGGCGTTGGCCGCTGCTGGCCGACAGGACACGGGGCTGGAGGGAGCTTTGCTCCGACCCAGCCTGGCCGCTCTGATGTTCTTATTCCCCCCGCGCGCAGTCAGCCCGCGAACCCTTCGCCCCAGGATGCTGAGCTGCCTGAGTCCCCTGCTGCCCCAGCTCGGATGCCCCTGGCTGACCCGCCTCGCCGCCGTCCCTCGCCCAGCAGGCCTGTGGGGACCCTACGCAGCCAGCTGCTCCAGGCTCTGGCTCCAGAACCCTCCTGCACCCCGCACGCCCCTGGCGTTGTCTCCTCGGGACACCGCACTGGGGAAGGGGGGGCTCAGGGCCTGGAGCGCCCCTCCCAGTCCCGTCGCTGGCAGCCCCGCGCTGGGGGGTTAATTAGCGCCTTCCAGCGGCCAGGGCACAGCCGGCAGCGTGGCGCTTTGCATGGCTGGGTCCTTGCGCACAGACTCCTCGTGACCTGACGCCTGAGGAGAAGGGAGCTTGACCCACAGACACACCAGCCTGTCTGGGCCCTGGGTCCCGTCCTCGTGGCCACCCAGGGCCTTTCTTCGGCTCCCACAGCCCAGCCCTGCCGGCAACGAGCTCTTTCCAGGCCGGTTCCCGGGCTCTGGGGCTGGGAGTCGGGTTCCCGGGGGCGATGCCGGGAGCAGCGCGCGCCGGAAGGGCCCCAGACGGAGCTGCAGTCGCTCCGCTCCAGCGGGCTGCGGTTTCCAGCGCCAGCACAGCCGTGTCCTTACAAGGCTGTGCGCTCCGGCCTTGCAGCAGCAGCCGGAAGGGCTGGAGGGGCCGCCCGTTGGGCTCGGGCCTTTTAAAAAAAGCGCAAACCCCAGAAACCTCCCTCTTCCTTTTTCTCTTCAGCTGCAGTGAAGACCCAGAGTCCGGCCATGACTCAGCCCCGAGCACTTCTGCATTCCAGAGGAAGCGCCAGCACCTGCCCTGCGCCACCTCGGCCCCGCCTTGTCCCCTCTCCAGGGGCTGGGCGGCCCCCCCCACG